ACGTTGTTGGATCTGGATTCGGTAACTTTGATCGACAACGAGATCCTTTAAATTATAATCTAGTCGACCCTCCTCTTCAACAAACCATTGCAGTTCCTCAGAATGGTTGGACAGCCATCAGATTCAGAGCAAATAACCCTGGTACGTCAATTTCCTCCTTTTAGAATGTGTTTTATTTTGCACATCAGTTTATATATTCAATGTATTACTTAAATATGCAGGAGTATGGTTCATGCATTGTCATTTTGAACGTCATGTTAGTTGGGGGATGGAGATGGTATTCATCGTAAGGAATGGAAAGAGTGGCGATGCAAGAATCTTGCCTCCACCACCAGACATGCCCAAGTGTTAGAAGATTTATTCATTTATTTCTGAAGATKATTTATTTCCTTCTATATATTAATTTTAATTGGCAATGTTCGTCTTTTAAACCTGTCGTCTCAAAGATGTGTATACATTTTTAATTCGTTAATTGATTATGTATGTACAACACTTGAATAAACATGAATAAACAAAGGTATAAATTTGTTCATATATTTCACAAATATCGTGTTAAGCGACTTTTATATGTTATTTTTTTCCCTTTTTCGGGTCTAGTGTTGTAAAGAATGAGAATGAATTGACGTCTTAAGCAATGGGTTGCGTATATGATAACGATATAAATACATACTATAAATACATGCCACCACATCCATGCAAGAACACATCATCCTAATCCATTAAAACAAACAAATTTATTGAGCATATCTCACAAAGTAACAAGATATCGATCATCTGAAGACAGCCATGAACATGCATGTTCTTGTTCTAAGGCTCCTCGTGATTCTTGGTTTCATACAATCACAAGCAGCTTTGGTTCACTATACTTTCGTGGTAAGCTTATAGGACTCTTTTCACATGTTTTCTAGCTAATTTGTGAGGGTTGGCAAGTGACTTGATATTTACATACCTTTTTCTGTTTGCAGGTTCAAGAAAACAACTACACAAGGCTATGCAGCAGCAAGAACATTTTGACAGTTAATGGACAATATCCTGGTCCGACTATTTCTGCTCGTAGAGGCGACACGGTCATCGTCGATGTTATCAACCAAGCCACCCAGAATATAACTATTCATTGGTGTGTATACATTTTTGTGTTAATTTCCTTCTGTGTATTTATATGCACTGAAATGTTCTTTTAACTAACATCATAAGTGGTACAGGCATGGAGTGAAACAACCTAGATATCCATGGTCTGATGGGCCAGAGTTTATCACGCAATGCCCAATTCAACCTGGTACCCATTTTAGCCAAAAGATTATTCTTTTTGACGAGGAAGGCACATTATGGTGGCATGCACACAGCGATTGGTCTCGAGCCACCGTACATGGTTTACTAGTCGTCTCTCCCAAAATTGGGACTACTTTTCCGTTTCCTAAAACTCAAATRGACCAAAATCAAGGCAACACCATCGCACTTATTTGACTAATCAAGTAAAAGTCGATTATAAGCAATAAAATACATTTAACACACGTTTTAGTAAACACATGCTCTAGAAGTATGATCGACTCAAAACCCCCCCTCATTTGTTGAGGCAAATCATTCTCCAAATGAATCCATACATTTTGTATTTTCAAAATGCCTTATAGCACAATAATGTGCATTTCCAAAATGGTTTATAAAATCAAATACACTAAAGATGCACTAATCATCAAATAACTACCACATATACAATAAATTATCAAAAGAACATAAGCATTACGATTTATTTATCAAAATGTTCAAAAATCCCAAATATGAGAATTTCACAAGATTTATAACCTAAATATACCAAAGATGCAAATCTCATCAAATGATCAACACATTTAGTAAATATCAAGAAAACATCTTAAGACTCCAAAATATACATTTTTGGTATTTAAAAAATTTTCACAAACCAACTTGAACACACCTTGTTAGGTTAGGTTAAGCCTTGATTCCAAAACCAAATCTTTAACTTCCGTAGATGGAAACTTGAGATCCATATACTAGACTTTCAGATATATGGCTTAAAGCTTCCAAAAACACTCTATTGAACTCCTGCGATATAGAAAAACACCACAAAGATGATAAGAAGGTTGAGGATGCAAAATACCGAACCCTAGGTCAAGAAATAAAACTTTATATCTTACCTTTCAACTTCTAGGAACCGGAAATCACTAACAAAAATTTAATCTTCTTTGTTTCTTTCATAAAGAGCTTCAAAAGACTAAACCGTAGTCTCTGGAATCGCCCTAAACGGATAAGAGATGAGAAACTTATGACGAAATGAAGAAAACCCTGAAAATCACCCTTGGGGGCCGCAAGAGACATGTAAAGCGACTTAAGTCGCTTGGAAAGTTGTCCGAGCCCAAATTTTTTCCTGCCATAGTCCTAAACGAATTAAGTCACTTGGTAACCATCTTGACACTTTAACTTGTGTCTTTAAGTTGTTTTGTGATTTCTCGTGCGACCAAACTTGCATG